CACAGCAAGCCAGGCAGCATTAAAGGACCAGGAAAGCTGATGTTTCGGGTCGGGATCTCTCTCCATTTCTGAAGAAGGGTCCTGACCTGAAACGTTAGCTTTCCTGCTCCTTTAATGCTGCCTGGCCTGTTGTGTTCCTCCAGCTCCACACTGTGTTATCTCAGACTCCAGCATTGGCCGTTCTTACTATCTCTTAGAAAATACTGGTAGGTTTGGGCAGTGTCGACACAGATTCATGAGGGGAAATCCTATTTGACAAACCTTGTAGAGTTTTTTGAGAAGATAACTAGCAGAATATATGGGGTGGGAGAGCTGGTGGAAACCAATGGATGTGGTTATTTGAATTTTCAGAAAGCTTCCATTGAGGTCCCATGCAAGAGTCTAGAAATAAAATCGATGCACATGGGATTGAGGGTAACATAGCGGCACAATGGAGAACTGGTTAACAGACCCGAAACAGAGAATAGGAATAAATGGTCCTTCTCGAGGTGGCAGTCTGTGACAAGTGGGCATAGCACAGATCAGTGCTTGGATCAATAACTCACATGTGAGAACTGAATGTTTGCTGATGACTCAAAACTAGGTGGAAATAGGAGTTGTAAGGAGGAGGCCAAGAGGCTTCAATGGATATAGACAGGCTAAATGAGTGGGCAAGTTCACAGGAGATGAAATATAGTGCGGATAAATGTGAAGTTTTGCATTTTGGTACGAAAAACAGAAATGCGGGGTATTTTCTTAAATGGTGAGAGATTTGGTAAGTTTCTGAACCAAAAGGGCCTGGTTGTCCTTGTTCATAAGTCACTGACAGCTAACATGTGGATCCGGCAAATAATTAAGAATGCAAGTTGTATTTTGTCCTTTATTGGAAAAGGATTTGAGAACAAGAGTAGTGAGGTCTTGCTGCAATTGTATAGAACGTTGTTGAGGCTGCACCTGAAGTATTTGGTCTCCAACTTTGGTCTCCTTACCTAAAGAAGAACATACTTGCCATAGAGTAAGTGCAACAAGGTCTCCTGAGATGGTGTGATTGTCCCACAAGGAGACAGTGAAGGGAGTTCCCTGGATTAAAAGAATACAACATGACCTTGTTGAAATATGTAAAAATATTACAGGGCATGAGAGGATCGATGCACTCAGGACATCTCTCCTGCCTGGGGAATGCTGAAATGAGGAGAAATTTCTTCATTTACAGGATAGTGAACCTTTGAAATGTTCTACCCCAGAGGGCTGCAGAGACTTAGTCACTGAGTATATTCAGGACAGAGATCAATAGATTTCTCAATATTAAAGATATGGCATCAAGAATTATGGTATCAAGATGGAAGATCAGCCATGATCTAGTTGAACTGTAGAAAAGGCTCAGGGGGATGAATGGCCCACTCCTACTCCTATTTCCCTTGTTCTCTGTGCCTAGGCAGGAAAGCCAACTCAACAAGATGCAGAGCTGGATGAACACAGCAGGCCAAGCAGCATCACAGGAACAGGAAAGCTGACGTTTCGGGTCGAGACCCTTCATCAGAAATCTGCTCCTATGATGCTGCTTGGCCTGCTGTGTTCATCCGGCTCTGCACCTTGTTGTCTCAGATTCTCCAGCATCTGCAGTTCCTACTATCTCAGGAAAGCCAAGTGTTTTTTTGATTGTTGTAAGTGCTTTGTTTCCTTCATCACTGAAAGAAGCGGATGTTCAACAAATAAATGTACATGCGCCTGTATTGTGGGTAGAAGAATGAGAGCAGGGAGTGAAGGCATGGAAATACCTTGGAAATACCAACAGCTTGTCAGTGATTGCTACGCTTATTAACAACAAACAACAGTGCCCTCCACAGGCAGCTCTTTGTAAAAACTGTTTTCCATCTGTGCCCAGCATCTCTGGAACAGTGGCCCCTCATTTGTAAGTCCTCATTATGAAGGGTATGCAAGGGAACTTGTTAAAAATGGATTAGCTATAGTAAATAATGGTGCCTAGAGGCATAATGAGTCTGAAGGTATATCAGTGCCAAGCTCTTCATTAGCTCAGTCATTGTTCAGCTTGTCCGAGTTAAACGGATACTTTCATATTTATTGCTATCATTAGAATTATAACTCCACTGGTTGACTGGGTAAAATAGAAAATATTACTGAATTCACCACCTTCAGAAGAATAACATGGAATGTACAGGAAAGAGGAGGGGGAGAGAGGACAAGGCCTAATCTGTGCTTTAGGCGTCAAAATTTAGTGACTAGCACTGCTGTGATGTTTTATTGTGCTAAATTTATAAATGCACAGTGTTGTTTAAGGCAGTGACTGGAATATTCAAAGGGAGATTCAGCCAAATCTCACAACCTGCTCCCATGTTGTGTGGTACACAATGGTTGTCTAAATCTGAAAAGTAATTCCTTGTGTTAGTTATCTCTTTAACATCTCTTCCTCCTCATCCAACCAGCTGACGATGGGCAATGATGAGTGGTCAGTAGCAGTGCCATTCTGTGCTGACCAACAGCTGTACCATGTGTCTACCACCTACCCCCTGCTCAAATTCCACATTGTAGCAGGAGAGGTCCTCCACAGTCTGACTTCATTTCAAAGCTGTACTCTGGACATAACAGGAATGAGTGATAATCCTTCGGAATATGTTAAAGCAACAAATTGTAACAAAACAGTTATAAATGATTATATAAGTGACACCATAACATATAAATAACTAAGAAGAAAGAACGAAAGATAATTTTATTCAAAGGGAAGAAAGCAGGAATATATATCAGAAAAAACACAATTTTATTCGAACACAGACATTAAACCCAATTGGTCCGCCCATAATCCAAAATGGTAAAGTAACCCCGAATTAGTCAAGTATCCAAACTGGTAAAAAGAATCTGTAACATATGCGCGCTAAGTCTCCGAAAAGGTTTTAAATGGAAGGAACCTCCACTCAGTCACTTCATCAATGTTGTTTCACTATTTAGTCTTCAGTGGTTGACTGTTGACCACTTGGTGGCTGCAGCAGTGAATTCTGGGAGCAGTGTGCCTTCAGGCCGACTTCCATTCCAGCCTTTCAGGTTTTCAAAGTGAAATATCTGAACTTAGCTAAACCTGCTTGCTCTGCATAAACTCAGGCTGTTGACTCACTGAGGAACGGGAATAATTATTCCTAAATTACCTCACCATCATCCTTCATAATAGAACATAGAACATAGAACATTACAGCACAGTACAGGCCCTTCGGCCCTCGATGTTGTGCCGACCTGTGAAACCAATCTGAAGCCCATCTAACCTAAACTATTCCATTATCATCCATATGTTTATCCAATGACCATTTAAATGCCCTTAAAGTTGGCGAGTCTACTATTTTTGCAGGCAGGGCATTCCACGCCCTTACTACTCTCCGAGTAAAGAACCTACCTCTGACATCTGTCCTATATCTATCACCCCTCAATTTAAAGCTATGTCCCCTTGTGCTAGCCATCACCATCTGAGGAAAAAGGCTCCCACTGTCCACCCTATCTAATAACTATCATATCTCCTCAAACTTCTCTTCCTAAGGCAAAAAGTTTTGCATTTTTGACACTGAAAGCCTGTTAGGTCTTTTGTATTAAGCAGCTTTAGTTATAACAGCTTCAACAGAGGTTCTTGTAAAATGGTATTGAAGGGAGCTCCGTGTGGAGGATGTTTGGAGCCAAAGGAAGGAGGAATTAATGTATGAGTGTTACCCTGTACATGGCTATCTCATCATCAGGGTTTGCACTTCTGCTTTAACTGATGCTCTCAGTTCCTGTTCTGCTTAATGCAGGTGCACAGAAAGCCGACGGCTGTAAAAAACTTCCGCACACATTAGACTCAAGAGTTGAACCACTCACCAACTCTCCACTGATTCACCCGAAATATACAGTGGGCTGAATTAACGGTTTCATTTAAGATTTGCTTTGTAGTTATTCCCTCTTTTTCACAAATTATTAATATCCCTGAAATTTGTGCAGTGTACCAGTGTGCTAGAATGAGGAAGCGATGTTTTTAGTAAAAGCCTAGTACCTCGAAAGCCTTTAATAAATCAATGACACCTTTCTTTTGTTTTATTCATTCATGGGATGAGGGCATCGCTGGCTAGGCAGCATTTACTGCCCATCCCAGAGGGAAGTTTGGAGTCAACCACATTGCTGTGGGTCTGGAGTCACATGTAGACTAGACTAAGTAAAGATGGCAGTTTCCTTTCCTAAAAGACATTAGTGAACCTGATGGGTTTTTTCCTGCCAATCGACAAGGGTTTTATTAGACTCTTAATTCCAGATTTTCTTATTGAGTTCCAATTCCACCATGTGCCATGGCAGGATTTGAATCCAGGCCCCCAGAAGACTACTTGGGCCTCTGGATTAACAGTCCTGCAATACTATTAGGCCATTGCCTCCCCTGTCAATGTCGAAGTCAACAAATACAGAAAATTCAGGAATAAAGAGACATGAAAATATCTATTTGATTAATTTGGGATATGCTACTGGGGGGAAAGTGCTGAGATCAAGATGTTTGTCCCATGTATATATTAAACAAGAGTGACTGCACTTCGAAACTGATCCATTGGATGTAAAGTCACTTGGAACATCCTGTGGATGCTATGTAAATATAAATACTAACTCATTGAGTTCTTGCAGAGTGTGCAAGGAGGTGAGGAAGGGGTGTTTGAGGCAGCTCTCCATGTACTTTGGTGAGATTCAGCTTGATGGGCCAAATGGCTGCCACTCATTCCAGAGAACCTCCCGGAACTGAAGGTCTGTGTCATCTCTTGAGGAAATAATTTCCACTCCCCTGCATTTTAACTATAATCTCGATTCCTCGTTCGTTTTGATATATTTATCCAACTCTGTTTTGCAAGTTGCATTGCGGAATGTAACCACTGGCTGCACGAAAAATATTCTCCTCGTCTATAAACCCAGAGCAACCCATGTTGACAAGTTACTGAAGTATGATTGTAATTGTGAGTGAGGGGACTGTTACAGTAACGACTTTACTGACTCTCGCTGTGTTCCCCCAGGTCTGCGGAGAGAAGGTGCGATTCGAGAAACTGATGGAGTATTTCCGAAATGAGGACAACAATATTGACTTCATGGTATGAGAGATTGGGTTGGAACTTCTCAGCAGCCAGTACAGGCTCTGATCTATAATCACAGGAGGTGACTCCTATATTATTGAATGTTGAGGCTAGTTCTGCAGGCACCTATGTCCCCAGTTAACTGGAGCCAGCCCTGCTGACCCGTGCATACTCACCCCAAACATACTGAGCACACACGCTCTCTGATTGTACTAAAAACCTGTGTACTCGTTCTACTCACACTAGGAGCTGCACACTGACCCAGATCATTCGAGCAACATGCACACTGACCCAAATCACACTCGGAGCCTACAGATTTACATTGTTCACACTAGGAAACAGCACACTGACCCAGATCACACTAGGAGCCTACACACTGACCCAGATCA